AAGTTGTGTCAGGAAGCCTTTGACTGACGCTTTGACCACCACTGTCCCACCTCCTGCCAGCTGTCAGTCAAAGGCAGGAGCTCCTCCCGAGCGCGCGTGGGAGGAGCTCCGTAGAGCGATTTCTCCTCAGTTTCGCAGCAGTTTCTCTCGCACGTGTGATTTTGTTGTGCGGTGGTATATAATCCATGAACAGAGGTGTTTTAACATACATTTATTTTGCTTGAGGGCCTTTTTGAAATAGATGTGACATAAATAAGCCTGTATAATAATCCTGCTATTACCTTGGCAAATTCTTTTTCTCTTCTTTGACTATTTGAGCTGATGTAATGAGTAAATTTCTCTACTGTGAGATCAATACAGTTAATAAAATCAATAGTCCAGTAAAGTAATTGAAAAATCAACATTTTACAAACAGCTTCTGTCTGCTGCTGCGGTTGGATCAGAGTTTTTCAAGCTTCTATCATGTTTCCTCTTTAGGTTACAGATTCAGCCTCTAATTTTGCTCTATTCTTAAGCTAAATTTTACACCAGAGAGACTTTTGATCACCACTAATTTACTGTGAGATGTTTGGATTTGACTGATTGTGTCTTGCAAATGCCTTTCTAGGGACAAGCATTACAGAATACCTACAGCTTCAATGCTAAAGTATGATATGCTAACTGTATCATATAAATGAAAAGAACCTCAGAGTCTGCTCGACCTTAGCGTGTGCTGCTGTGGGTAATCATGTGTGTAAGCGTGTGTCCACAGAGGGACTGAAACACCCTCGCAGCTTGTAAACAGGAGCTGAACTGCTTTCATGTGCTGAGCTCATTACCATGCCGATGGTCGCTAAGGCAACGCCGCAGCGGCAGCAAGTGTTTTCAAGACAAACACTAAAGCCACAAACTTTGGATTTCCGCCTCCTCGTGCGCCCACGTCTGTGGGAGCGGGTCTCCAGTGAAACTGAGGCTCTCACCTGTCCCCACAGCAGCTCGCCCATCCCGATGAACACACACCACAGCCACTGGTCGATGGTCAGAGGAGAGCAGGAGAACGGCTTCCCTCCAAACTGAACGATGATGATCTGAGGGCGAGAAGGAGCGTTGCTCATTTTAGGTCTTTCTTTGTAGTATAGGTTATAAAGCTGCTCTATCTGAGGGGGTCTAGATGTGAAGGTGATGATGAACCTACCTGCAGGGCGAAGGTGCCCAGGACCACGCTGCAGAAGATGGGGTTCCTGTAGACGCCCTCGAAGACGTTCCTCTCACCGTGGATCTTCCTGGCGTTGATCTCGTTGAAGAGCTGCATCATCACAAACACGTTGAAGACGATGGTGTAGTGCTCCGATGGCGGGGAGTGCAGAGGAGCGTTACGGCCAGAGTCGATGTCGAAAAAATTTTCTCCTGAGAAACAACAAGAAAGTGTAAAGATGCCCTGCAGGGTGGGAGCGGGTGAGGGGGGGGTATGGGGGTCAGACCCACCTGCAAACAGCAGAGTGAAGATGATGATGAGCTGGAACACGGCATGGCCCAGGATGTTCTTCATCATGGTTCGGGAGATGAGCGGCTTGTCGCGGCCGTAGGGTTTGCGTAGAAGCAGCGACTCTGTGGGCGGCTCGGTGGCCAGGGCAAGGGAGGCCAGCGTGTCCATGATGAGGTTGACCCAGAGCATCTGCACGGCTTTTAGAGGAGAGTCCTGGAAAACGAGGAGGGAATGAAGGGAGACGGGTTTTTCTCTGCGTCCGTTAGGATGGGCTGCTTTTATTTCAGCAGATGTATCTAAAAATAATAACTCAACTTACGCCAGTTTTTCTGCCAAGTTTAAAGGAAAAGTTCGCTCATATTCAGAATTCAAACTTCTGAAAGTACTTTAAATATGAAATAACATACTGTTCAATAAATGATCAGTGTTTTTAATTAAGAGTAATTTTCATGTGAACGTGCTTTACTGGAGGCATCCATGTTTGTCAAAGAACACTACTGCCACCTACTGGTTTGTGACGTCACGGTGCTACGGAGCCCCTAAAGGGACATGAAGGGAAAAAATAAACTTTTGCGAGATCCCGCAAAACTTTTGAGAGATCCCGCAATACTTTTGCGGGATCTCGCAAAAGTTTATTTTTTCCCTTCATGTCCCTTTAGGGGCTCCGTAGCACCGTGACGTCACAAACCAGTAGGTGGCAGTAGTGTTCTTTGACAAACATGGATGCCTCCAGTAAAG